CTGGCTTGAAGGGGTTTCCATCATACACAGGGTTTACGGTTCTGTTCAATGGCTTTTAGCACCCCCACTATATAAATTGTTCCACCGCCACTGGTCAAAATGGTTTCTTGAATGACAGGAGTTCTTTTGGGGTTTTTAAATATAGTGCTTTCCAGCCACTGATCATCAGCAACCACCGCTTCAACCTCTTGGCTCAGAGATTTTGTCAGTTGGATTGATAATTTCCCAAAACTTGAGCTTGGATTCTACACAGAACTATTGTGTCTGACAAAAGGATTTCTGGATGTGCCCAGGCTCTGGGTTTTTTCCCCATCTCTGAATTAGGTACCAGACACTCATCAGGAGATTCTTTGTGATAAACCAGCATTAGCAAGGTTACCATTTTAACTCGGCTGGAATCTCACCAGGGACCTACATTTAGAAATGACACAAGCTTAAAAATTCTTCCCTTTTCCAAGGGAGACTGGAAGGAAGGAATCCTCCCAGGCTATCAGTCAAGAAAATTTTAATTGGATCTGTGGAATCAGTGGCGGCAGCATCTAAATAATCAGCCATCTGTTAATCTAGTCTTAGACGACTCTGATGTTACATACACTTTCACCACAGTGCAGGAGTCAGAGATTTTTCTCCTTTATATTTTTGCCCCATGTTTAAGTAACACTAGCTGTATTTTTAGCCTCTTTGTACAGAATTTGTGCCTTCCTGATCCTGGGCTGCTCTGGGAACTAGAGAGTTTCCTGGGAGCCTAAGTTACGGCTCCATCCTCATAGTGCCCTGTGGGCTGCAGAACTGCCTGGAATCTTTGCCTGCTGGAGCCCCCATGCCAGGCTTGGGAGGGGGTCCTTGCAAGGCAGCCTTATGGCTGTCTCCATCGTGCCTGTGCTGGGTTTGCACTGGTTTAACTGGGTTGGTTTTTAAACTGATTTTAGGTAAACCAGTGCAACTTCTGTGTGCGGACAGGGCCTTAATTTCCCATTGGTAAAATGGGCCTAAGAACCCTTCCTCTCTCCCACCCTTGTCTGTCTTGTCTAGCTAGACGTCAACTGTTGGAGTCTCTTCTGTGGGCTTGGACAGTGCCTGGAGGTCCTTAAGTTGGAGACCAAATGGAACAAGAACAATGAATGGCTTTATTTAACCATTTCTCTCCTGGACAAACCCCCAAAATATCGTGATTTACGGACTATGATGTGGATATTGTTTTGTGCGCACACACACACACCCCAGCTAATGCTAAAATTAAGTCTTTCTCATTGTCTGCTATCGGCTGGAGTTATGGCTGCTCCTGGCACATGTCAAGGCAGTCCCCGGTCCGTGTCAGGTCAGGTTGAAAAGCAGGATTGGAGGGGAAGCGCCTGTTGTAGGATGAAATTTTCTTTTTTCTTCTGGTGGGAGGAGCCAGAGTTGGTGGCTTCAGATGAGCAAACGAAGACCAAATCAGGGATGAGGCCTGAGGTGCAATTGGCTTTACATCCATTAAACTCATAGACTTTAAGGCCAGAAGGGACCATTATGATCATCTAGTCTGACCTCCTGCACAACGCAGGCCACAGAACCTCACCCTCCCACTCCCGTAATAGACCCCTAACTGCTGGCTGAGTTACTGACATCCTCACATCGTGATTTATGGACTTCAAGTTACAGTGAATCCACCATTTACATTAGTTCAAACTGGCAAGTGACCCATGCCTCATGCTGCAGAGGAAGGCGTAAAACCCCTAAAGTCTCTGCCAGTCTGACCTGGGTGAAAATTCCTTCCTGACCCCAAATACGGAGATCAGTTATAACCTGAGCACGAGGGTGAAACCCTTCAGCCAGACACCAGGGAAATAATTCTGTGTAGTAACTCGGAGCTCTCCCAGTCTCTGACCGTTGGAGATGCTTGCTAAAAGCAGCTGCAGATGGGCCGTATGACATTCTAGGCACTCTCCCCAGGTCACGCAGGGAATTGAATCTAAGTATCCCAAGTTCCAGGCTAGCCCCCTGCTATATCATCCTTTGCCCTCTGGTGATCCCTTCTGGCCTTAAACTCTCTATAAATCTCTGTTAGTTTCTCTGAGTAGCTAATACTTAGGTTAGCCATAATCTGAAGGCTTTGCATCTTTCATGCGAGGGAGAAAGGTTTGCTTTTGGCAGAGATAGATAGCAGGGGTTTCAGGACATTTAAAATCTTTTTCTGACCATTTTGCACAAGAAAAAGCATTCTGTCAGACTGTGTACAGTATGTGGACTCCACATTTTAAAATAGCTGGGTTCTTCTTTCCTGCACAAGGAAAGAGAGAGAAGCAGAAGACAGATACATTGGTCATCTAGCAGACTTTACATTTACTTTTATTGTTTAATATACGTATTGACACCAAATAGTTACATGTCTGTGCATTGGCCTAGTTGTGATGACTGTATCCGGATCCTTGTCTAGCTCATTTCATTACTCATATGCTAGGGATCTGGCCAGGTGTTTCTTGAATGCTGCTGTGTATTTATTCATCACATAGAGTGTTTACAATACTACAGTGATGAAAGTGACAAAAACCCCTGGGGTGGGGAGAGAGACAGACACGCACACAACATGCGATTTCATAGATCTGCCATCGCATTGATGGTATCGGCAGATCTCAGTTTTATCCCATATCATGCGGCAGCTACACTGCCTCCTCCACCTTATTTCTGCTATGACTTCTGCTCAGATTTTTTCCTTCCTCCTCCACCATCTGTCCCCTTAACCTTCCAGCACACAAGGAATTTTCAAAATTGTCCGTTTTGTGCCGTTACCATATTTTGTCACACACAAAAATCTGAATACATAGCGTAAAGCACTACAGACAAGAGTAGCTGTATGTGTTTGTGCTGCTATAAACTTGCATGGCAGCACTTTCCTGTGTTCCTGGGAAGGGGGGGTATTGGATTATTTACTGGGTTACACACTTTTCCTTCCACATTGCAATGTTTTGTGGATGTGGTTTTTCCCCCTAAGTTACTGATATTAGTTACAAAAATTCCTCATATTTACAACATCAGCTGTTGACTTGAGAACACAATCTTTGGAATGTGTATGTGATCTGTCAGCTAATTTGAGTTAACCAGTGACATACTTTGTCATCTAGACATAGTCAACCCCAGTAACGTATTCAGATCACAGAAAGCCTGGAGTCTTGTCTTACTTATGCATGCAGGGGAGTAAGACTAGGTCTCAGCTGAAGACCTGCCTTGTCTTGGGTTTGAATTTCATGTGGAGCGCAGCTCCTGCTCACTAGCTATGTTCCTCACAAGGCGGGAGCAGGAGAGGGATTGTGACTCTTGGCGAGGGTGTGTCCAAGTCACAATCCTTCTGGAGCAGGGCAGGCTACGTGCTCCTGTGCGTAAAGGTGCAGTCTTGCCCCCAGTGTGCATTTGGGGTTGTTACTGGCACGTAGCGGCACTTGGCACAGAAATAAAGCTTTGGGTGGGGAGCTGAGTCATTTCCTTGCTGGAGCTGTCCAGCATCTGAATAAACAAGGCCCTCTGCATAACCTGAAAGGTATTATCATTCAGACACATTCAAACCAGAGTAACTTACTCAAAGTAACAGGCATTTGTGTGACGGGGATTGGGGCGCCTTGGGTGAGATCAGAAAAGTTTATTCTTAAAAACATGAACAAATATTTTTAATTTTGTAATTGTCATTTTAGAAGGTGACATCTAGGGAAATAAGTAATACATCACTGGTGCATAAGAAATTGGGAGTAACCTGCTTCAGTCTTACATTGCATGGGGGTGTGTGAGAGAGAGAGCGAGCGCGCACTAACATAGGCAGTATTAATACCCCCTCCGTTTTGATTTATGTCAGTCTATCCGGAGATTTCTTAGTTACGCGACTGATGAGAAGAGCAGAGTGAGTTATGGGAACGTGCATGGACAGACAATCGTATGTGGTACTTTATGATGTTCCTGGAGGCATGTTTTGGGCCTGTGGCCAATATTGGTTTAATCAGCAAACGGAGTCTGTTTTGTGCAGCAACTGCAAGAATTTCAGGTGGAAGCACAGTGGTGTATAAAGGCTAGGCCAGGGAGTCAGGGAATAGGAACATACTTTAGTCACACAGTTTAAATGGTGAAGTCCACATTTCTAGTACTCAAGCAGATACTTGCCGTGGGTTATTCATTAACAGCTCATAGGCTGAAATTTATTTATCCCCAGAACTGAAAAATGAACAAGTTTCTAGAAATCACACGCTGCCAGTGGGCAGGAAAAAGGCTAAATTCACAGGAGCCATTGTTCACCACAAACAATTCAGCTGACCCTGCTGACGAACATTTAATTAGTGGGCTGTGTCAAGTGGGGAAGATGAATTTCAGGGGAGCGGGGACTCTGATTATGCAGAATGGTGGGAGGCTTTTCTGAGAGTCTGTTGGAAGAGTGACACATCAGAGCAGATGGCTATCGTGGCGGGGTCAGGGGTGTTTGAAGTGTACATTTGTCAGTTTTAAAGAAATTGTGCCCCCGACATACTGAAAGGATTGTGACCCCGGCCCAGAGCACTACCATGGAATGTAAAGCTAAAGGCTCGCATCCTCCGCCCTACCTCCACTGGGGCCATATTGATTCACATCACCTAAGAACGGGGCCCAAGTATGTGTTGTGTTGGTAAGGGCCAGTGGCCTGCGGAGCAGGGGAACAGAGTTCAGGATCTGGCAGGTGCTTCAATCTTTGGGGCTCAGGAGGAAGAGTGGTGATCTGCAGTGGACCCCGGTAGCCCATTTGGCAGTGTCATTTGGTGGGGGCTGATGGAAGCCTCCTACGCTCTGTGGCCTGACACCGCACTAGTTATAACTTCGGGACTTGAGGATGGATGAGTGAGGGGAAGTGGGAGAAGGGAAGTGCCCTGGGGATGCCTACAAGTGAAATAAATCAGTGCCCGGCACTGAGGGGCGTGGCTGGCCCTCTTTGGGCGGAGACGGGTGGTGCTTGTCTAACGAAGTCATGGCGAATATTGTTTTCTCATCATTTCCTTTTGATTTTTCAGCCCTGGCCCAGCGTGTCCAATCTGGCCAAGGACTTCATTGATCGCCTGCTCACAGTGGATCCCAGTGACAGGATGACAGCTCTTCAGGCCTTAAAGCACCCCTGGGTAGTCAGCATGGCAGCCTCCTCCTCCATGAAGAACCTGCACCGCTCCATCTCTCAGAACCTCCTCAAGAGGGCGTCCTCTCGCTGCCAGAGCACCAAATCAGCCCAGTCCACCCGCTCCAGCCGCTCCACCAAATCCAATAAGTCGCGGCGGGTGCGGGAACGGGAGCTGCGGGAGCTCAACCTGCGCTACCAGCAGCAATGCAATGGCTGAGAACTCACCAGGAAACTGCCAGCTGTCTTCCCAGGTGCACTTCCTCTGGTGCAGGTGTGCAACGGTCCCACGCGGCGGGGAACACCCAGGCTCCTGCTGAAGGAGTGCTCCTCCCTGGGCGCGAAGCTCGGGGAAAATGGAACCTTTGCACCCCAGCCCCCCACAGTGGGCACTCCTCACTTGGGTGGGCTGCGTTTCGGAGCCTGATGCAGGAAGTGGAGCAGTGAAAGCCTTCCTTGTGCTCATCCAGGTCCAGAGTGAAGGTCAAAGTTCAGGGCCTCAAGTACTCAGCAAATTAGGGAGCCCCGTGAAGAGAAGAGCCCCCTCCCCAGCCCAGGAGTTTGGCTGCCTATAGTTATTTATTGATTCCAGAATGTTAAGTCCCTATACATGCTTGGACAGTATTTATATTGGACTCCATTGATGCTGGTGGGAGTCACACGCACAGCTAGGGTTGGAAGTGCTGTGACTCAACAGCAAGCCAGCTGCATGAAGGAAATGCCAGGCAGGAGTCTTCAGTGAGGAGCATGAAGCAGAGAGGTTTCCCCCAAGGATCCCCCCCCCGGTGACTGTGACAGCATCACAGGTTACTCGTGCTGGTTAAGGATTGATTGAGGTATCGGCGCCCTGGAGCGCAGATCGTCTGCAGTCGCAGTTCCCCTTTGCCCTGACTGAAGGTTCCTAACTGTGGGGAGGGGAGAGGATGCGAAACCTGCAGGAGCAAAACGCTTTGCAGGACACCTACAAACTTCTTTTCTAAAGCGAACCCCGTGGCTAGCCCTGGCCCCCACCCCTGCGCTAGCACTCCGGAAGATCTCCTCTGTCTCGGGAAGCGTAAGGCTTGTGAGCCAGTGCAGAGCAGCTGGGGCAGGCACAAAGGGAGGGTGTGGAGGTGTCAGGAGAGGCCACTTTGGACATATTTTGAGGCAAAAAGCACGAGGCTAAACGGAAGCAGAGGTTGGTGCTGGCAGGGGCCCCTCTGATCTGGCCGTTCTCAGAGGCGAGCTGGCGTTCCTTCTTGCCGCTGGATTGGAGGTTTTTGGATTCTTCACCCTAGTGTTGCACCATGGACCCGACAGACAAATGGTTCCAACTGTGCCACATTACCAGGCCAAAACTGTGACTGCCCCAGCCATTACCCACTGCTTCCCCTTCGGCCACGCACGCTGATTCTGCCAGCGCCTGGCCTGCTTGGCACCCCAGGCCTGCCTTTGGGATAGCTTCATGGCCAGTTACGGCGTGCACAAGGGAGTGGGATGGGGGCAGTCATGTCACCACAGAAACTCCTTGTTAACACGGACGGGAGCCTTCCTACCAGATATTCAGTCTGGAGCATCGGCCCTGGTAACACATGCCAGGCCTAGTGAAGCGCTGCTCCAGGTGCTCTGTCAAAGGTCACTCGGCTCCTTGTTTTCCTCTGTGGACTTAAGGCAGAGTCATCTCTGCCATGACCTTGTGCAGGGTGTGTCATTCCCTATGGCTAGGAGGCGCTAAAAACGTGATCTCCAGAGTCCCAGATCGCTACCTTACCCACAAGCCCTTCCGAAGGCTTTCTCCTCCCTTGTGTGGGATAAATGAACTTGCAGATTGCCACATGCTGAGTTCTGGTCTAATCCAATGTGTTCCCTCCCCATCTCAGTTCCTGACTGAGACAGAGCCTGCGGGAACGTCTGTCTCACCTAGGAGAGTCTCCCCTCAGGGTTGGTAGCCATTACTCTTCAGAATGCTGCAGCCGTAGAGCCCATCTCCTTGGCGATTGAGTTATCATGGGATGCGTCATCCGGAAAGGTCCCGTGTGCCGTCACTCGTGGCAGATGTAGGGCCTAATGCGTTTTGGGAAACAAAATGCTTTTATAGAGGTCGTCTCAGCTCTGCACAAAGCCAGTTCTTGGTGACTCAGCTTGAGGCTTACGAGGTCTGTCTGGCTTTCGGGGGTGTGCATGACATGCGTGATGGCGTGACCCAGGCCTTGCATCTGTGATGCAGGCTGTGATCTTGAGGCCAACTGGCCTCTCACTGGTTTGATTAGTGTCCACACTTCTCCTGGGCTTCTTGTAAGCAGAGCTCCAGTTCTCACCGATGCAACCTTGTCTCTTCTGTGGGAAACCTCCGAGTATACCTGGGCACACTCAACAAGAGCAGTGCAGATCATTGTGTTGGCCTTTCACCTCTTGGTTTCAGTTGGGCGGTTCACCCCCTCTTAGTTCTAACACGCTTATGCCCAGACAGTAGCCATATGTAAGCAAAGAAGGGGATGGTGGAGATTTCCCGGAGGGAGAGGGAGTCCAAGCTCCTCTTGGAACCTCAGGCAATCTCCTGTCCCTTTTTTTTTTTTTTTACTTTGCCCTCCCACTCCCCAGGAGAGGCTAGTGGCAGGAATCCCACTAGCTGAGTGCAGGTTACAAAAGTTGCTTGGGCTGGGTTGTCTCTGGAAATGTGCTGCAGTCGCAGATCGTTCTGCTAATGAAGCCAGTTAGTCTGCTGTGCTTTTGAGCAGCTGTGCACATGCCCTTGATCTGCTCTGCTGGAATTCTGCCTTGCGTGCTCTCTGGACTCTCTGCCTTTGTATATTTCACTCCGGCATCTCAACTCTCTCCAGCTGACCTGAGACTCAGGAGTTTCTGCCTTCAGAAATGCCTCATTTGTGGATTTCACAGGTTAAACACTGCCCCCATCCCCCACAATCTGCCTAGGAGTCCCTGTGCGCATTTTACCTGTCTCCCTCTTTTCCCTCTTAACTAGGGTTCTTGAGGTTTGGCCTAGTGTGAGGTTGGGGCACTTGCTCCGGTATTGAATAATCTCATAAATAACGCAGTGATTGTGTATCTGTGCCCTGGGTGAGGCCTGCGTCTCGCTTGTCTGGGACAAACAGTACCCAGAGAGAAATCTTTCCTGCTTAGTAAGTGAAAATGGTCCCTCTCCCCGCATTTGAGTGAAATATGAGTGAAGTTAGAGTGACACCTAGTGGCAAATCGCAGTATATCATCTTGCAGAGAGAGAGCTCTTCGCATTTTGTTTCCTTATACAGTAACTCCTCACTTTGTAGTTATGTTCCTGAAAAATGCAACTTTAAGTGAAACAATGTTAAACGAATCCAGTTGTCCCATAAGATTTAATGTAAAAGCAGGGGGTTAGGTTCCAAGGAAATTTTTTGGGGGCAGACAAAAGGCATTATACTGTATACTGTACAGCACTGTACTGTGGTTGGGAAGTGCCCCTGGCTTACCCCACACAGGCACAGCCCGCTGCAAGCAAGGACACTAGGAAGAACCTTCGCAGCAGCAGCAGCTTCCCCGGAGAACAGGCTTGGACTTTGCCGGGAATGTTCCAGGCCCCCCTCTTCCTGTCCCCGCTCCACCCCTTCTCCCCCCCCCCCCCCTCTCTTCTCGGGCGCCCCCCCCCCCCCCCCCCCCCCCCCCAAAGTCCTAAGGGGGAGGAGTGGAGACAGCACTTCCCCACTCCTGCCCCTCCCTCCCAGCACTTCGCGCTTAGGACTTTCTGGGAGGGAGGGGGAGGAGGCGGAGAAGAGGAACTTGTGCAATGCTCCTTTGTAAAGTCGCTGCTCTTCCACAGAATCTTACAAGCAGGCAGCCAAACGCCGTTAGAAGGGAGCATCGCACAACTTTAAACAAGCATGTTCCCTAATTGAGCAGGGCCGTAACATTGAAACAACGTAAAATGAGGAGTTACTGTAGTTACGAGTGAGACATCTCCATGTTTGGTATGCAGGGGACTTGGTGGGGGGTGTCCTCATCAGATCAGACAGAGCTGTCAGAGCCATTGAATAATTCCTGTCTTTAGCATGAGCACATCTCCTTTTTTATTCCTTTGGCAAAACTTCCCAGATTAAATTGCCCAGTGCCCTGTCCCCTGACCGGACGTCGTCCAGAGCAGAGCAGCACACTGGCCTGGCGAGGCAGGGGAACGATTCTTGGCCACGTGCTTGAACCATTGGCACGGAAGTTGTGATATACCAGTGTCTGAATTTTAGTTAGGAGTATTTCTGTCTACCACTGGGCTCTCCTTAGATGTCTGAGTAGAATCGTTACAATTACGCAATTCGACGTCTCTGATAGCCGCCCAGCCTTTCCCTCGATCCACGCATGGGCCAGTGTTTGCTGTCATAGGGTGATAGGCTTGTGGAGTCGCACAAATAGTGAAGGTACTAGCTGGTTATCTGAGGGACTAATGCAGGGGGAGAAGGGCAGAGAGCCGTTTGACTCCCTCTTTCCACCTGTACCAGGAGAACGTTAGCTTGGGAATGTTGCGTTTGCATTTTGTACCTGAAAAGGTTTTTCTGCCCAACCATGCCCTCTTCCCTGTGGGGAGAAGTGGCTGGGTTATTCGTACAGATGGACAATCAGATGAATTTGTCCCTTCCATTCCCAAATCATTGATTTTTACAAATGTGCTCTCTGTAACTGCTCAGCAAACTGCTCGTGGGAACGAATTTTAGCCAACAGGTTGTTTGAAAACTTCACTTTGGCAGCTTTGCTATTCATTATCCTTGGGGTGTGGTTGGTCACCTAAGTCACATGGCATTGTTTGCTCCTCCTGTAAGCAGGAGCATAGTGCCTAGGGAATGACAAGTTGCCTTCTCCTCATGTGGTTATGGGTATAGGTCTGAAGAACAGCCACTTGCCACATACGGGTGCAAATGTTCACATGGACAAAGGCAGGAAGCTGGCTGAATAGGACATCTGTTCAGTCTTCCATTGCCTACTAGTGAACAACAGCATTCAGCTGGTTCTGCCCTGTGGCAGAAATCTCACGGGATGTGAGGAGAAAGCAGAGAGTAAACGGGCTGACTGGAAGCAATCACTTGGTGACCTAGTACATTGTCCTCCTGGGACTAGCTCTCAAATTGCTGCTTTCCCCGCTATTCCCTGGGGAAAATGTTCCTTTAAGGAGTGAATGGAAATACATGTGTCTGTCCATTGGAACTTAGCAATACTGTGTGAAATGGTCTCTTCGCCCTGACTAGGAGTTTCAGCTTGTTTGCTCTTTCGGGGGAGGTGGATCTGGCTTCGTAGAATGCTATCCATTGGATCCTGCATATTTTGGATCATGGAAATAACAAAGAGCTTCCAAGGAGAACAGTAGGTGGGTTGCAAACAGAGGATGCAACTTTGGGTCCCACTTATGAATGTATTGGAGTTGGACTTTCCAAAAGCCTTTGACAAGGTCCCTCACCAAAGGTTCTTAAGCAAACTGCACAGTCATGGGATAAAAAGGAAGATCCTCTCAAGGTTAAAAAATGTGAAACAAAGTGTTGGACTAAATAGTCAGTTTTCACACTGGAGAGAGGTAAAGAGCGGCATCCCCCAGGGATCTGTACTGGCACCCGCGCTGTTCAACACATTCATAAATGATCTGGAAAAGGGGGTGAATAGGGCGAAGGCAACATTTGCAGATGATCCAAAATTACTCGAAGAATTACTTGTGAAGGCCAAAATTATAACTGGGTTTAAAAAGTGGCTATTAGCCAAGATGGTCAGGGACGTAGCCATGATTAGTCTACTCCTGACCCCTCCCAATGCAACGCCAGACAGCTAAATGCCAAGCTGATGGGAAAGAGGCCAGTGCTTCTTCATGAAGTATTCCAAAATAATGGTGATATCTTATGTAATGTTCCGATTGCAGTAGAACCCAGTGGCCCCAGTCAGGTTCAGGGCCCCGTTGTATCGGAGCTATGCAAACACAGATGAAGGCATGGCCTCTGCTCCCATGAGCTTCACAGGTTTAAGCAGTAGGTGAGATCAGCTAGGGAGTGCGGGCTGCTGCTTGGCATGGTGACTTGGAAGCCAGCTGCAATGAAGTTCCCGC